CACCCCCCACTCCCACTGTCTTAGACGGTTGGCGTGTTCTGTGATGTGGTTTGCGCCTTCTTTCCAATCAAACATCTATGGTCCATATTTCTCCTCTTTTTTTTTCTTTTTATATTACTTTAATCTTTGGCACTTATATTACCTATATTTGTTGCAAGTGTCTTAAAACTTTTACTAGTGGGTGGTTGGAGGGTGCTCTGGTGTGGTTTGCTTCTTCTTTCCTATCAAACTTCTATCGTCCTGATCTTCCCTCCTTCTTTTTTGTGTTTGTTACTTTCTTGTAACGCCTCTAATCTTCGGCACTTATATGACCTTATAGTGTTGCAAGTGCCGTAAAACTCTTACTAACACTAAACTAATTTTTTTTCCTTGTAAAATATGGACACTATCTTGTTGATTCAACTCCATAACAGCTAGCTTAATAGGTACAAGTTAGGATAGATGGTGAATTGCCATTATCTTAAAACAAGTTTCTCTTTTGTCATTAATTCAAAACGGGCTTCTCTTTTTTATCTCTTTTTCCTTAGATCGGCGAAGAAAATGGTTTCAGCTAAGAGATGCCAGGCAGGCACTATCCGACTTCAAACCCCTCCAGGTTAACTACCTCAACGTCATGGAGAGTGCGAAGGTCAAAGCGTAGCGGCGCGCCCCAGTGGCGGTGATGGGTGTGGTCATGTGTCGTCGTGGTCCCTGGAGGGGCCAGTGTTGTAGCAGTCATCGGTCCGACATCTGGTCGTGGGTGATACCACAAAGGTCACAATGCTTGTTGCTTTGATGCAAGACAAGCACAAGTGTACATAATATTTATATATGAGAGAGAGATAGATGTATTCTATTTATTACTATATTGTTTGTGTGAGTCTGAAAGCATGTAACTTCATTTGAAAATGAATGGAGATACGTTTTTTGAGGCTCCCACCAACCGTGTATGATATTTATAAATGAAAAAGAAAGACATGCATTATGATTATTATATTGTTAGTGTGAGTCTCAAACCATACGTAACTATTATCTCAAAAGTGAGTGCAGATATTTGTTTTGAGGATCAGACCAACCATGTATAATATTTATCTGAGAAAGAAGGATATGTATTATGATTATTATATTGTTAGTATGAGTCTCAAACCATGTAATGTTATGTCAAAAATGAATGCTGGTACATGTTTTAAGGCTCACACCAACTGTGTTATGCTTGGTATGACATCTTTGTGGCCTATGCAAACAAAGCTGTAAGTCGTCAGCAGTTAGATCAGGAGATTGAACTACCTAGAAGTCAGTCTGAGCAGATGTACTATTTTATGACTTTTTAAAAAGTCTGTGGCACTTAATGTTCTGATTAAACAGGAAAATGATAAAGTAAAAACTCTTTAGACTCGAAAGGAAAATTAGTCTATTGTTTTTACACCTTTTAAAAAAGCTTTCAAAATACTATTTGTTGCAATTTAGAGTTCCATTGAAGCGTGGCAATGTATTTATATGGTAGCCAGAGCCTTTCTTGTAGTGCTTCCAAATTTGGTGTGGATGCATTTTTCGTCGTCTACTCCTCAAGGACTCCTCCAATTCATGAAAAATACTTCAGATTGGTACATAACTCAACTCAATTACCAAGGATACACCTCTATGGTTGCCCTTGCAAACACTGTCAGCTGTGGATGTCTCTTGTTTCTATTGTTTACAATATCAGAGAGAATTGGATACGCCATGGAGAGTCCACTTTTGATAATTGTTTCAGTAATTCTGAGCTTTAAAGTATGCACTACTATACTGTATTGAGAATTGAGGTACAAATGAGCTGTGCCACAAGTCAGGCATGTAAATATCTGTTTTGAGGATATTTTGCCAGACTGACAATTCATATAAGTTTTTGCATGACTGTGATAGTAACTGTTTGTCTCTTAATGGTTTTGTTATTGTGGTGTTGTAATGAGTTGGCTCCTTCACATGATAAATTTTCAACTCGGTACAGTTGCACCTGTCCAAGACAACCACCTACTGTCAATGAAACTAATGATCTTCTTAGACAGGTGGTCTTAATGGACAAATTCATTATAATGTCGAAAAAACACAAGGGGGGGAGGGGAGATTGGTAAGTGGTTGTTTGTGCAGGTGATTTCCTTGAACAGGTAGTCGTCAGGGCAGGTCTGACTGTACACCTGTTTCATAATTTTAATTTATTCTCTTAAATGTACAGCGAATATAATCCGTTATGGTTGTTACGCGCTGAGCGGTGCTGTCAAGTTTTATCTCCCTGGATGAGCGGCGTGTGTGCCATGACTGACTTCACTAAATCATTGAGAACTTGTGAATAGTTCATGGCTAGCCTTCCAGTATAATGTCATTTGATTATTTGATATTTTGGTCAGTGTGTCCTTTCATTCACGGGGGAGGGTGGAAGATTGGTTATTGATAGTCTCATGGTAATAAAACAGATAGGCTTTACAGATGGTACAAATGTCCATTCAAAAGTGAGCTGATAAATGTAGCCAACACAGCTCTTTTGTAATGAGAAGTAGAAGAATAAAGTCATTTTGGTGACTGACTGACTCTTAGTCCTGAAGTAGGCTAACGTGTGAGAGAAAAGAAGAGTTGTAAATGGGAGATTTTATTCAGATGTCTCCTCACACCTCACATAAAATATAAATTAATGATATGTGAAAATTGTGGAAGGGATTTTTTTTTTTCTTCAGTGGAGAGTTAATATTGAAAACTAGTGTTTATTAAGCGTCATGGGCATTTCTGTTTCTAATAAAGGGATTTATTGTTAGACTTTTCATTGATCATATTTAAGTTATGGAGATAACAGTGTCAGGGTGACTGCCAATGTGGCAAAAAGAGAAAGATTTTCCAGGGGCGTAAATCGCAACACCCATCCGATCATCACAGCGCGTGAAGCATTTAACAAAAGCTTTTTACTTACCTTATTTACAAATGTATACAACACTGTGCTCATATGACCTTATGCTGTTGCGAGCGCCGTAAAACCCTTTACTAAAAAACAAACAAAAAAACCCCCACTGTGCACATGGTTTGCTGCTACCTCAGAGACGAGGAGATCGAGCCGACTTGCAGTTGCTGTTTTAGCACTTTGATCTTTCTGCAGAGTCCGTGGCTATCATGGGACAGGTTCAGGTTGTCAGTCCTGGAAACTCTGTCTTCTTTCTGTTCCACAGTCTTTTCCAGGTTGTCTCTGGTTTCCTTAACATTAAAATCTATTTCAAGATGGGCCGTTTTCCTCTTTCTCTTCCTTCCTTTCATCTTTAGTTTTCTGATCTTGAGATTTTGGAAAAAAGAAAGGACAAACAAAATCGTACATAGACATCACATCTTCAATGCCAGAGTACAGAGTGAGACTGAACATAAGAGTTGTTTCCAGAAAAATGGGATTTATACTTTGAATTCTAAATTTTGGAAAGAACCTCTTCACAAAAAACTGTTTTACAAGGAAATAGGATGGCAATGATGAAAAAAAAAATGAAGGAAATCACTAGGCTCTAAAATTCCACCAACACACCTTGCTCGTGCATTGGAAGTTGCAGCAATCCATCTTCCCATCGATCACTACCTTCTCCAGGCCACCAACAGATCTGGTGTAGTCCTCAACGACTCTGCAAGCTAGTCCGCCGGACTCCCTTTGGTTGACACAGGTCAGCTGTTGGTTTATGCTGAACCCATTTTCCACCTCGGCTTGTCCATGTGACAGGCAGAGAACCAATGAAAAATCACTCGAGGGAGCAAGGAAGTCTTTCCCAAGGGAAGACCAGAAGGTGTCCAGTCTCTCTGTGTTTGAAGTCACACAACATGCTCCCTCTTGACAACTACTGAACACCCCTAAACTCCTCGAGGAATTTGTCTCCGTGTTCTGCAGTTGACCAGATGGTCCAATGTAACCTCCAGCTTTTTAACAGCTGTGAAAAAATACCAGCTCCCATGAGCCATTGTGAAAGCAATTTAACCCGATATACAGTGAACTTAGACAATCAATTGTAGAAGGAAAGAAATCAACTTGCTTGGTTACTTGGTTGGAAAATAGGTATTATGCAAGTGGTACATTGCCATAGCTGCTCCTCCCTCCTATCCAGGATCCATGAAAGTAGGGTTGGCTTGCTGACAGTGGAAAGAAATCAACAATCAGTATAACCAAAAAGGAATAATTTACTAATCACTAAATGCTTTCAAATATGCAATGCAAGCCATCTTGAAGCAAAACATTGACACCCTGTATCTTGCAATCACTGGGGTAATAAGTGGAAGTGGACTTGTTGTCCATTTGCAAAACATAAAATTAATAACCTTCTATTGATATTTAATTAGAAAGGTGCATTAACAGTTCAAATTTCCTTTGATCTCAGATCTGCCATACTCCAAAACAAAGTGGCAATGTACTCTCACTTGAAAATGACTGGGCACTAAAATCTTTTAAAAAATTAAATATATAAGACGACTGAAAATAAAATGTGGGTAATTGAGTTGATGTTTTAACTGGTTAAAAAATTGTAAAAAGAAAAACTTACACTCCTCCAGAGCAACATTTGCTGGAATGGCCCAGTCCAGATTCTGCACCTATGAGTACTTCAGAGATGACACTCTCGGCAATTCGTTGATGAATGCATACACAAATGAGCAAGCCTCCAACCTCGGCCCCATTAGTGCCTTGTTTGAAGGATGGTCTTTTTGGACTGCCATTGACCTCAATAGTCGATTTGCCTTAAATCTAAGGTAAATATTTGCTCTGGGTTTGACTGTAACTGTTGTGGCTGTCATCATGGTCAGGCCACCAATAGTATTTCCTTCAAGGCATTGTGAACTGTGTGCAGACTGCCAGTTCCCAGGTCTATGATGCGTTCCTGGTGAGATGCCTGAAAAAAAAATTGTATTAAAAAACCCCCAAACATATTAAAACAAACAACCATGGGTATTCACTGGCTAATAAATTGACTAAAACATGAGTGGTACAATAACCAAATACAGTGAAACCCGCAAAGAAAGAACTTCACAGAACTAGAGAGTAGTTTAATTTTTTGTGTTAAGGGAATTTGCATTACATAGAATAAAGAGGGGGTAAAAAACCCTGGAATTTGAAATCCTTTTGTGGTATCAGGAATTCATGTCTGACAAAGTCTACTGTGAATATACATCATTCTTGCAATACTGATCTAGTTGCAAACATTGCGAAAGCAGTCGCAGCGCTTTCTTATTAACATTTAGGGCATCCATGAAGGGCAGGCGGATGGTACTACATTCAACACCCTGCAATCACTCTAGAAGTCTCTCCATAATCTGCTTCGCAGTTGCATGACCCATGAATCATGAGGTCAGGTACCATATCACCACCTGTGAGGAAGACCGGCCGACAAAGAATAAGGACACGGTGAATTATTTATAATCATTTTCACACAAAACTAGTGATGTGACCGACTCTTCCAACATCCACACTATCTTCTGCACTATTCACCTAGAGCTTTCATTAGAACTGGAAACCAAGTTTACCTACATTTAATACATTTACAATATTAAAGGAAAAAACTGAGCTGAGAACACCAGATTCAAATAGAATAATTGCATCATAGATATTGTAAGTATGATGTTAACATTATGCGAGTTAGTACACAAAAACAGTGATAAACATGAGCAATCAAATATACATGAATAAAAATATTAGGCCTATGTGGATATGACAGGTAATTTAAGCTGAATCAGTGCCTGTGATGTAGCGATTGGGCGCTTTGCCATCACAAACAGGAGACCCAAGGTCAAACACACGTGGGGAGAATTTTTATTGAGTATTTCTTTCTCCTGGGAGGTTGTATGTATCTCTCTTAGCCCTGATTGGCCCTGACAGGCGTAGTCAAAGCCTGTCCCTAAATGATCTAGATTGTGTCAATAGGGGAAAAAAAAATTCATCTAGTTAAAACTACTCACCAGATCACCCATCCAGAAGTGTACGTCAACATCCCTCTGCTTTTTAGTCATGAGGTAGCACAAGCTTTTGTCAAACAGAATAATGTAGTGGTTGCAAGCTGTCAGTCTCTCTGTGAGCAGTCCACTGAGGTGAGGGGTCAATCCATGTGACGCAATGTAATTACACTTGTCCTTCTGGTTCTTCCAAGAGACATTTGGTGAGCAATTGCCGAATTGGAAAAAAATTGTGCGAAACATATCACACACATCACTTGCACTTCTAATAATAATAATAAATAAATGGCATTTGTATAGTGCATGTCCTCACTCGAAAGCAAGCTCTATGCGCTTTAAACAATATTAATGTATTCTGAATGACATGTAGGTCAATATGATTGATTTTCAAGGTCACAGAATCTCTGCTTTCATAGTGTCTGCAGCATTAGCTGTAATTTCTGCAGTCTGGGTTTCTGTCATGGACACTGACACAGAAATGGGTTTTTTAGACACAAGAAGGACACATGGTGCTTATTCACTGTCAGGGATTGACAGAATGCTGCTGACAGCACTGGAGGAACTCAGACTGGAAGTTGAAGCAGAAGAACAAAAAAAGAAAATGCTGACGACTTAAGTATTCTTGCTGGAGAGTTGTGTAGTTCCATAGCCTTCTTGTGACTCTCACTCTTGGCTCGGATGACGAGACCACCAACAACCATTGATGAAATTCAACTTCTTTACCCCTTGTGGACCTATTCTTTCCCTTTCAAATGATACACATAGCTCTGTTCTGAGATGTTCTTTCCTAGCCATTTGTTGAAGCAGTTGCTCGAAGACCATTTTCTCTGAAAAGAGGTTACCTTTGCCATCACTCTGGTCTGATGACGTTCATGTGTTGAACTAATTCTGTAGTCTAGTTAGGTCTGATAAAACCAAAACAAGTCTCTGTTCAACAGCGACAGTACACTTGCTGTACCGTGACCACATCAACACAATATTAATATAATATTAAATATGTTGCCCTAGTTAGTTAGATTCTAGGTGGCATCAATGGCCTAGTGGTTAAGCTATGGGACTCATAATTGTGAGATTGTTAGGTCGGGGCTCGGGCCTCAGCTCGGTCCGATGTTGTATCTTAGAGAAAGGCGCTTTACATGAATTTCCCTTTTGGCTAGGTCCTTTTGGAGATGGACGTTAAACTCGGAGGTCCTGTTTTTAAAATTACCATGACCTAATAGTGTTGTTAAGGGTGTTAAACCTGTACTATTTCAGAACAATTTCTAGATTCTAGACGTAGAATATCTCGAGTCAAAAGCAGAAAAATAAACGCAAGTGGATGCAGACATTAGAACAAAGGTTCTCTCTTACCATCTTTCTATACATCACAAGGTTCACCTCATGAAAAAGACAATGAGAAATGTGTGAGGCACCTGGCGTGCCTCTAGGCTTCTAATACTAATGTAAGTACCCTCAAATTCTTTGTTTGGACAGGAGCCTATTGATTGCATTATAGGTGTGAACTTCACACTACTTTCGATTTCATACCGATGGTATACTTCTAGTTGACTCAAATAGTGCAAGTTGTATGAATACTTGACATAAAATCTTTGACACAAGACTATGCTGATGAGATTGAGTATGTAAAAAAAACCATGTCACCCGAAGTGGAAACTCAAACTATGACGTGCCCAAAAGAATTGGCAGTTTTGGGAGAGAAAAAAATGAAATAAAAATTTGCCCAGGGCATTCTGGGGTTGTCAACGATTTTATAAATTTTCCTGGGAGCCCCAGGAGTCCCGGGGCCTGGCAGTCACCCTTATAAAAAGATAAGATTAATGGCAAGATATTTATTGTGTCTATGAAGATATTTATATAATTTTGTGTATTTATTATGTATGCTGTCTTTTACAAATGTACATCTGTAATCTTATGGTGCCCATGTATTTTTCTTTGTTGATTGGATCATGACAAAGTTTTTGTGCTCCCATTGTGGTTTGTCAAGGTTAATAAAGTCATGTGGGTGTCTCTCCTTTAAAAAAAAATGTCTTATTTGTGATGATGTTGATATTGTTTAATGAAAAAATTGTTGGGTTTTTTGAATAGATGAAAGTGGACCAATGCAATTTGGAGGATGCTTGTTGTCATGACTTTTATTGCACAGAGAAGTGGTGAAGCAAAAAAACAACTGAGGGGTGAGGATATTTCAATGCAAAGGCAGAAGCCGCACTCTTACTAATCGCTACTGGTGTCATATGTTTAATTGCAGCATGTGCTATCGTATCCCCCATTACCTCGGTTAGTGGTATATGTATATGTATCTGGATTTGTATTTTAATTTATTACATGCATGGTTGGGACCCAGGTGTTGATGGATGTCTCATGTGAACTTTTCTGAGCCAGCCCCTCTGTGCGTGGTTGGGAATGTGTCAAATTTACATATTGATTCGTTATAAAGATTTAGTGCAGATACAACTCTATCGCTCTGAAAAGGCAAGCCGCAAACCATCATAAATAGTTCCATGTCAATATTTTTTAAAGTGGCACTATGCTATTACTCGAATCAGCTTCTAAAATCTAGAGTTATTCGCTGGTTCTTCCCTTGTCGCAGTTGCCCTCTGACTCTGAAATAATAAAAAGTTGTTGGAACTGATATTACAGAGGTGATGGATGTTGTTGACAGATAGTTACCTCTGCATAGTTTGTATGTTTCCAACATTTCAAAATTTTTGTGTTTCGCGCGCTCATATGACCTTAGCAGTTGCGAGCGCCGTAAAACCTTATACTACTACTACTAAAAATTTTGCTGTACCTTCACACCTGCTAGTGATGAGTTTTCTTCTTCACTAGTCCACTGTTGTTTTTGTCTGTCTCTCTATCTGTCTAATTTTTTCCGAACACGGAATCAGATGTGTTTCTATTTTAATGCAGGAGTGTTTGTTGTTTTAAAAAAAAGGATACTTCTTCAACATAGGGCATGTCTATACACGGTGGGCTTCTTGTTTTGACATCCTGTTGTTGGTGAATGCTTGTCCCTTCTACCCACGCATGGCTCCATGAGCCTCGACATGTCATTGCTGTGACAAATAAAATAAAAATTTCAAAGAAAAAAGCAAAAGCATTTCTCTGTCCCTGGTTTACAGAGAGAATTAAAAAAAACAAAAAACAAAAGGGAGTAACTCATATTTTTTGCCACTAGAACTAGAACAATGTGCAACTATGTCCTATTGGGAATGCAGCCTCTTGGTACCGTTTATATTTATAATCACATGATCTTGCGTATAATACTGGGGTTAAACTTTGACTCCAAAGTCAGCCCAGTTTTGCAGGTTGTGCATTAGGTACGGGGTGAATTACTGACATGCTGGGGGGGGGCTGGCTCAGCTTGCTTGAAATCAAGTACTAGTCAAGCATCAAATAATATGATGTCTTGATTTAATCTGCGAAAATCTAATTCAGTATTTCTTCCCTGTTGTCGGGCCCAATGCTGGCTGTATATGTATCACGTGTATAATTGGGGGGTATACTTTTTGGACTTCATTTTATTGGGAAAATTGCTCGTATGAAAGGCATTTGTTACAGTATGTCTTTTACAACACGGCAGAGAGAACTGATGGTGATAAGATGGTGCCCAAGTTTAAGCAGGGCGCAGGGTAGCCGTAGCATTCCAGAGTTGCAGAAATTCTAGTAACTGTATCACATCTAAAATCTAAAAATCTAATTTTTTTCAGAAAAGTCATGATTTTCAGTTGTATTCTAATTCCGGTATTAGCGTTCAAAAGAGTATAATGCAGCCAATATTTTACTTTCCTGCTAAATGTTGAATCAACAGAATAATTGTTCAGCAGTACAATTCTTGAAAACGTCTTCCATGGTTTTAATACTTTTTGTAATTATCTGCACAAATATTCTTAATAATTGTATTTTTGACTATTGTGGAGATGTAGTAACAAGTATGAGTTGAATACATGAACAGGCACTAAATTTTCATCTGGGTACGGCTACTGATTTTTAGAATAAGTGTCACTTGCAATATGTTAGATGTGTACTTAACGGTAGGACCATAATTGTGTGTTATCAAAATGTTCCCCAAGTGTGCCAAAAACGTTTTACTCTGTGTATGTGTGTATGTTTTTGTACGTGTATTTTTATGTATGAAAGTAGAGAGAAAGTGGAGCAGGGTTTGTTTTCTGGAGCTAAAGAACAAGTTCTATGAGCTGTATTTACTTTCCGTCTGAATGATGTGGGCTTAGACTCGGAGTGTCTCACTTATAATATCTTGATGTTGTATGCACAGATATTCTAGAGTTGCAAAGTTTTATAAAAAATTAGAGATCTTCACATCTGTAAAGCAATAAATGGCAGGTTCTACAGCGACATTTTCTCTTTTAGTAGCACTGCCCTACTCATATCAAAAGAATGCATATCCGGTTTTGAATGAGCCATAGTAAAGTTACGTCAATTTTTGTGGTTATGTGTGTTTTGAAATGTTGATGGACCAGCATCTGTGGTGTAATGGTTAGGTGGCTTGTTGCTTCTCATAGACGACCTGACCCTGATTCTGGGTAAGCTCTTGTAATGTCAGTGATATACAGAATGCAAAATTAGAAAGATATTTGTTGGTTGTTTGATAAGGTCTATTTGTCCTATCAGTGTTGATTAAAAAAAAATATTATGACCATGTTTTATGATACATCTACAAATTGGTGTGCTAAATCCTCTTTTTATTTACCTCCTATGTAACTGTTCCATAACCCCCACCTGTCGGGAATGTCTCACAAGACTGGTTGCTCTGTGTCGGCACCTTCCGAGTCTGCCTGTGTCATGCATTGTGCTTCCACGTATCCTGGAGTTATATGTTCTTCAACAACTTCAATGTTAACTTATTAGTACACTACAATTTATATATTGTACTGTCATGACAGTGCTGTGAATTTGACTCGCATTTATGGTTACATATTTTTATTTCCCTCGAAGGTCGAAGAAGTTGATAAAGGCTGTTTGTGAACATTCGGACTGCCCAGCACTAATTTTGACTACTAAGTGTAAGACTGCACAATACACCATTGTGAAAATTGACGTATGACCAAGTCTATCAGTCACAAATGCTTTTTGCTTGATGCTATGTTATTATTATTGCTATTTTTGTTAACGAATACAGACTTCAGATAATCATGATTCTTGGGAAATTAAAAAAAAATTGCAATATGTATATACGTGATGTGATCGGGGAAGGGGTCAAAATGAGTGTTTGCTGGTGACCATACGCTGTGATGACAATATGCATGATGGGGTCTTTCAAAGAAACAAGAGTCTTTCTAGGAGTTTATATCACTGCACAGAAGTACGTCCGGTGTGCTTCTAACTGTTTACAAGCAGTTATGGCAGAAGTGTTTTTGGGCAGTGAATCATGATGATATTGTATTTGTGTGCTGACAATATGTGTTATTTCTTAGATTTTGATTTTGACCCAATGGGAATATAGATGTCAAATGTCTAGGTTGAGTTTGTACAATCTATTTAGTATGAAACGATAAAAAGCATGTTAAATTGAAGAAAATGGCATCAGTTGAAAATCAACAAATTCGACCATATGTTAATGTTCGACCGATATCTCCATTCACAAAATATGAGGAGTGACTCGTTGTGTCAGCATGCCTCACATATTGTATTTGTGTGCTTTGGCTTCTTGTTTTGTTTCACCCATTGTTGAGCCGGTTGCGCGTAAAACTGCCCGTATGCCTAGCTACTGGTACAGCGGTGAGGGAGACATATGATAATATCCCCAAACCTGGGACAAGGGGCTCTCGTGGCGTAGAGGTTAAGGTGTTGGCCTCTCATTCAAAGGTCCCGGGTTCGATTCCGGGTAGCGACCAAAAAATTTTCTTCTCTAAAATTGTCTCCTTTCACATCCTTTCCTGATCTCTAACAATGTTCTGTTGTCTGCTTTCATTTCCACTTTCTGCCCCCACCCCCTCACCTCCTTTGCCCCCTCCTCTGGGCTCCTGACTCTTTCTGCAGCCTTTCTACTGCTACTCCTTGGCTCCTCCTAACTGCTGTCTTTCTGCCACACCCCTGATCTTCTGGTAGGAAAGATCTACACCTAGCCTTCTCGGACAAGGGCGAAAAATCTCGGAGGGCCCGTGTGCAAGTTGCGCACGTTAAAGATCCCTTGGTGGTCTAAATCGATAAAAGTAGGCTTCGGCCGCCACCCGGGCAAAATTCAAAATTTCCTACCAACGAAAAAGTATAAGGTGTGTCCCGCGCGCTCATATGACCTTATGCAGTTGTGAGCGCCGTAAAACCCTATACTAACCAAACAAACAAACCTGGGACAAAACACGTGTGGGAAACTGTTTACTACACAGGACATTATTGATTATTTTGAAGATCTTTCTAAAGTAAATAGGCTACTAGAATACTAGAAATGAAGAGGACTACTATGAATGGAATATGGAATGTGATTTTGACGATCACATGAATAGTAGTAATATATCACCCAAGATCTCAGGCAGAGGGGCGGGCATGGTAGCATCAGGAGGTCAGGGCTCTAAAGGTTAAAGCAAATTGTTGATTCATGTATTCGTTCTGCCTATGGGGAGGCCTTGAGCACAAAGCACACATATTTGTTTAAATGAAATAAGGTATGGCTACCAAAGGGTCTTAAATGCTGTATGCTCAAAATTTAAGGAAGGAAAAAAAAAATTATTGAAGTTTATGGAGTGGAATGATGTGT